CGATATGGAAACAGCCGAAGAAGAAAGACCGTCAGCTAGAGGCCCCATGTTGTACGAGAAGTCTCCCGATGGCGGAGCATTTTTAGCCGCTCAACCTGTGCCAAGATGTGGAGCATTTTGTTATTTAGCAGTCGTGGCGAGAGATTCAAAAAATAAAGAATGACAGTTGGTTGTATCTATATATTACTGTACTAAACTTGTCAGTAATTAGTCCACGTTGGAAAAAAAAGAAAACATATTGAACTATTGACATGGTGCTGTGTAATAAACGATTTTATATATTTTAATATGTTTAATTTTTTTACTATTTTATACTTTAAATGTTTTACTTCAAAGTTTTTTCAAGAAATAGGTCGTTCAATATATATCTAACTAAAGGTTAGGTCTGTGTCGCCTTCCCGCATACTTGGGTGTCACGAGCCGCCACTGAAATTTACTTTATATTTATTCATATTCTATTAATTTAATACTTCGTCTGAATTTGACAGGTCTGTCAGAAGTCAACAGTTGTCACTATTATGACCAATGACGTATAATATATAGACTACGCAGTCCCCTATTCTCGCTATAGAATCGAGTGTCCGAAAGATCTCGGCTCAAGGTTGAAGGTATGTTTATTAGAACAGCGGCGTGCTCATTTATATGTTAATAACAATAATTATTTTTTTAATTAAAATTAAATATTTATGATTTCTTTTTGTTCCTGTCTATAAGAGAAATAATTATTTTGATAAAATAGTATGGCATTTTACTAAAATAGTAAGTAAATAACTATCAACAATTTAAAATAAAATTTGCTTGTCACACAAAATGGAGTACGTCCATGATGTTTTCAAACACAAGATCAACTTCGTGATGCTTCGTAAGAAATCATGAACTTCGTGCATCTTCGTATCAAAACAATAAACAATAACAAAGGTATTCATGTTTTGGACACTTTTTAAAGCGTTCACCGAGTCTATATATTATACGTCATTGATTATGACCCATAGATAAATAATATAATAGTAGAAAATTATGGCCTGTGAATGTCCTAATGACACCCGCATACCCATCGAGAGGATAGGAAACCTACGTTTCCACACAATTGCATGTTCGTATATGCGATTCATTGAAAAGTGTTTCAGCAGGAGTAATGGGCTGCTCTAAGGGAGTGATTAAAACTTTATTATTACCAGCTGTTCCCTAAAATACCACTCGTTCCAAATTCTCCAACGTTCCTCTAATTCTACTATTAATATAAATTACCTAAGCCATGAACCAGGCCATCATGCAACAGCATCCATTATCTTTTGCGTCACAAATTTTTTGTACATTCCATGAGAAATATCCCTTTCGATTTCTCCTTCATTTCCACCTGGAGTATACAAACATGAGTGCAGTCAATAGTCCAATAACATGAGGGAATCTGACAATGGCATAAAAACCTTCTTTCACTTCCAAACATTCCATGTCTGTTTCTGGAAATTTCATGTAACTTTGCCGAAAAGTTGCAATAGCCTTAGTGACCTTGGCACAGAATAACAAACAATCAGAATCGCAATCACAATCAGAAGTACCCGCATCTCGTTCGCGCAGACGTTCCGCCATGTTTTAAAGGGAACCAGTGTTGTTTATGTGGTGTACATAGGCAAAATTAACCCGGTTTAATTGACTTACGGCAATCATAGACATACTATACAATTATATTAACATTGGTAAATATAATAACATAAATATAATATAATTAAACACAAATATAAACAATTACATAACCTCACAAATCATATGTCTGTTATGTCTTTCCTTCTAAAACATGGCGCGCGTGCAGAAGAACTTCAAAGGCGGCATCTGAGAGTGGGCATTCTGATTGTTTATTATTCTGTGAACTGGGTGTTAATAACATATGCAGAGGTTTTGCTTACTTCAGTAAAGTCTGCACATGTGAGTAAACAGTTACCTGTAGCATAAAAACGCAAGGTAAGAAGCAATTTTGTTTCTGGCCTTATAGATTGATTGGAATCTGTTAATTGTTTATAAAATTTAGTATTGTGGCACATATTTTCGTCTGTAACCGCAAGCGTTTGAAAAATTCTAGTTCATCAAATTCCACAAAGTAATTTGGACTAAATTTTTTTTTTTTTAATTGAAACCTTTTCAACTATCATTTTTTTCCATGAAACTTACGGAAGTTTTGAGCAATTTTGGTTCATCACAAAAAGCAACAAATAATATCACCTATAACCTTATTTGCTCATCAATCTGTCAAGGAATATGACATATACTAGTTATAGATAGATAGATAGATAGTGACCAATAGAAGGCGAAAATAACTTTATCTCTAATATATTCGCTGACATGGATAAGTTATCTGTTAGTTTATACTGAGAATAAACTTATTCTGAACCTCTAGAACACATTTTTTTGTTATTATACTGTGTATATGTTATGCTAGGTATACTCGTTTTTATCGTTCTTGGCGTGTGCCTGAAATAAGCTACTACGGAATTTTTAATATTCGTCTCTCTCTGATACACAGATGCGTAATTCAATTGTGCGAGTCACGTTCGTCATGGTAAAGTGCGATGAGAAGGGAATGAAGAGACCACTCACGTCTCCCAGTATTGTAGCAATAACACCGATTCGTTTGGCCGATACGGTGTCGGTGATAAGTTCGACCACTTTACGAATACAGATAGCTCGCAGTGACATGTTTTTTTTTAACATGTTACCCTGATCTGTGCAGGTTTGAAGTAGCTAATGAAATAGTTTTTATAAGTAAACAGTTTTTAATTAATAGTTTGAGCTCTTACTGTGTGGAATTCCATTACATAAACTAATACTCTCGACACCTTAAAAATTCCAGTTTATTATAAATTAACTCTCTCTCTTCCGATACCCATTGCAATAATGACTTGTGGCATTGTTCTTGAATGAGCTGGCTAATAGGTTTATAATTGTAGCAACTACCATTGATATTTTATGTTGTTTTAGTCGATTTTAGTCAGTCATTGTTGGAATTTGTTCCGAACAGTTTTACTTATTACTTTTTGTTGTGAATAACTAATTGTACTATTTAATAAAAAAAATGCCAGGAAAAACGATAACAGGAGAAATGCGACAATGTGTAGTTCATTTATTGGAGTATTTTAAAAAAGAAAAAGAAAACAACGGACCTTTGCTTTCGTTATCATCGGTACATGAACGAGTAGCGGACGCTTTGAAAATCAGTCTTCGCACAGTGAAAAGAATAAAGAGTGAATACAAGACAGGGGCAGCTCTTACTACACCAGGAGAGTCACGTAATGTACAAAAAAAAAAGACTAATGATGTCAGCGATACTATAAAAGGAGAGATTAGAAATGTACTGTATGGCATGAAAGCAAAAGGAGAGCACGTTACAATTAAAGTTCTAAATACACAATTAAGAAACAAGCATCTCTATGACGGTTCTGATACAAGTTTGTGGCGTCTTATGAAAAATTGTGGTTTTCATACAAACTAGAAAATAGTAGACGAGTGCTATGTGAGAAACCATGTATTGTCTCCAAACGACTGTATTTTTTGAGGCATTATATGAGAAATTTTTTAAGTCCAAGCCCACTTCAGTTCGTTTTTTTTAGATGAAACATGGATATTCCTAAAAGGGGCATATAAACGTACTTGGCAAGATGACTGTGTGAAAAGCATCAGAAAAGGACACGAAAATACAGGTAAACGCTTTGTTGTTTTACATCCCGGAAGTAGGCAAGGATTTGTTAAAGATGCTGGATTACTGTTTTCTACGAAATCGAAGAGTGCAGACTATCATGATTCTATGGATAAAGAGTGGGTCTCCGAAAAGCTGATACCAATCTTGGAGGAACCATCTCTAATTATTATGGATAATGCCTCATACCATAGCTCTTTAATAGAAAAGTTACCGAATGCCAGTTGGAAAAAATCGGACTTACAAGAATGGTTACGAACGAGAAAAATAATTTTTGACGACGATTCGGGCAACACAGAGCTATTGAGTCTTTGTCGCCAGAATAAACCACAAAATACCAGGTACGTTATAGACGAGCTACTCCAAGAACATGGGCATCAGATTTTGAGATTACCTCTATATCACTGTCAATATAATCCGATTGAGTTGGTCTGGGGCATTTCTAAACAATACTATGATCGTCATATTGGAGAACATGGACGTGGAGATGAAACAGTGAAAAAAGTTTGGGGCGATGCATTAGCTGAGGCAACACCTGCAGTGTGGGCGAGTTGTGTCAACCATACTGAAAAATTAATTCAGGACGACTGGGCAAAAATGGTCACATATGATGAAAATGAAAGTAGGATTATCATCGATTTGGGGGAAGATTCCAATTATGTAGACAGTTCCAGTGAAGACGCTGACTGATTAGCTAATTAATCAAGGTCAGTACGTTGTAACAGTTCAGAATTCGCTACAGTGCTTAAAACTTAAAAAATGTGTATCATTTTTTAATTAAAGTGGGTTAAATAATTAACACTTTTTTGGGTATATTTCAAAATCCTTTTAAAATGTACTTTTCGCTATACCCTATTCTATTGTACTGCAAGCTAGAAACAAACTTTTTCGCAATTTATACGTATATTCCGTCATTAGAAATTTAATGAAAAATAATTTATAATTTTCTTTTATAACTATTATTTCGTTTGACATGCTACATTTTGCTCCGCCACTGGAGGAGGTAAACGAATCGAGCTTAGACAAGGAAAGACAGATGAAACAACTTATTGCAAGTGTTTTTACACGCACACGCCAAGAACGATGAAATCGATTATATATACTTGAATTGTAGAACAGACCCTAAATAAATAAAATTAATCTTGGTCCATATTTAATCGCCTTAACAATCAAGAGGATTTTATTCTGACAATTTCTCTCGATTACTTTTTACAAGAAAGACTCAAGTTTGGTAATTTTCTTCATACTTCATGTTGTTTCCTTTTCTGTATCCCTTCAATTAAAGATTATAATAATGAAGAAAACAAAAGTATGAATTTTTGGAAATATTTATTGACATTTCAATAAAACGTTACAAAAATATGATACATTATTTTCATGGAAGTTTTAAGGTAAAATGATGAAGCAAAAAAATATAATAAATATCATGATATGTGATGACTGTTACGATGACAAAAATCTCAAAAAATTATTTAAAACCTATCTAATCGCTTTCTATCAAAAGTTCTTCAAAAATGCGGACTAAATTGTCTATACCATCCAAATAATTCTTATCTATATCACAATTTTCTGCAGGAAAAACGTGCGCAAAATCGATCATCTTAGCAAAAGCCCAACATTCACTTTTTTGATCAGTACACAATTCGTCTAAAAGATATGTATAATCTTGTTTTTTGTTTTGTACGTCCTTATCATAATTATTTTGGAAAGAATGAGTTCTTTTTAAAGAATGTATAGATTTGTGCCACGTGTTATTGCAAACGAAGTTGGGCCCGTCTAAGTTGACGATTTTACTAGAAGACCTGTGTGGTTTTAAGATCGGACCTTCTTTCGTCAATTGCCCACTAAAACCTGTCGGAACTCTATCACATTCGTTGCTTTTGTTTAAAACTGCCAAACTTAATGGACGATAGAGGCTACCCTTCCTCTGCAGTTTGAAAGTCGAAGACATCTTGTTGCATTTCATTTTCTCTCGAAGTCTTCTAGCATCATAGACAAGCAAAATGGACGAAGAATACAGCCGAATTTGTCGCTGATTTCTTACCCAGTATTGGACCTGCCATAGAGAGGCTAGAAATTGAACTATCAGACTTCGGCATACTCTGCTACCATCCATATTCAGGAAAGTCTTAATTGCTATGGAAAGAAAATACCTGTAAATACTAACGTCAAAAAAAATACTAAAATTAGTATTTGGACAAAACATTTAAAACAGTTTTATTAAAAATCCTTTATAAAAGGTATACAATTAAAAAAAAACCCTTTCGAGCTACATCACAACGTTTTTGGACTAAAAAGTCCATCATCAGTGAATTAGGTAACAAAAAATCCTGTATAGATAATATTTTTACAAATCTCGACATATTTGATTCTTAATATTGTTCTGAAGCTATTTTCTTGAGGCATTGTAAATTAATTACTATTTAACTGGGAATTAAATATAAAAATACGTTTATTGACGTTTCAATTTCCACTTCGGAAATCGTTCTCAAAATACAAACAGTAAATTAAACAAATTTTGTTTTTTGTTACATAGTGAAAAATTCTTCTAATAATTTAATTTTATCTGACTCATTTATATTGACAATTCAGACATACATTATGCATTTTAAAGTACACGACTTTAAAATGATATTGCCAATATTGTTGAGTTGCGCTCCTGGGACGACTTTACTTATAAGATAGTTCATTCGATTACATGAAATCAACTTTAACTTGAGAATATCCGTCAGAAAAAATCATTTAAAAAGACAAACACATTACATGATGACAGTAAAATTCTCCTGTTAGTGATTCCATAGTAAATTATGAGGGAAAAACCAGGAAAAAAACTTCTTCTGATAAAGTCTGATAAATTCTCCTTGTAGTGAACTATCAAAATTTTTATTAAATATTTTAAAACCATTTATAAATGGTTGAATGACACATTCATAAAAAATACACAACATTTTTTAAGTAAATTATCAAATATTGAATTTAATTCAAATAATACTTTGGTAAGTTTTGACATAAATAGTTTATTTACGAATGTGCCATTAAATAACACTTTAAGTATAGTCAAGACAAAATTAGAGAGTGATGATTCAATGGCAACTAGAACAAGACTAAACATATCGACTATAAAGGAGTTATTAACATTATGTACTGATAATACATATTTTCAACTAAATAATGATTTCTATAAACAAAATTTTGGTCTAGCAATGGGCTCTAGTTTATCTCCATTCTTAGCCGATATATTTATGGAAGATTTTGAAACAAATATCATTTCTAACAAAATTTCAAACCCACAGTATGGTGGTGGTATGTAGATGATGTATTCACAATATGGCCTCATGGATCAGAGTTGTTGGACACATTCCTAAATGTAACAATAAAACACTGAAAACTTTGTTTTCAAACTTCCACAAAATTTATTTTAACTATTATCACTACAGCTGTTTCGGCTGATAGCCTTTCTCAAGTGATCTATTTTTGGCATGCGTTTACAATTTATAGTCTCTAATGAAATAGGTTGAGGAGGGGAGAACTGTTTGTCTCAAGTTGGTCATTCAGAATTATATCTGTGTTTTTTAATTTATTGATTTCCATATATTCTAACAAAAATAGCTTAAGGCCTTTATTTTGAACGTGAAGAATTTTAAATTTGTCATTGAAAGAATGATTATGGTCTAGAAGGTGAAGTGCGTATGTCGAATCTGTTTTTCTATTCTTGAAAGCCCTTTTATGTTCTGCTATTCGTTTCTCAAAGTTTCTACCAGTTTGACCGATGTAAGTTTTTGGGCAGTCGCCACATTGAATTTTATACACACCACTATTTAAGTGTTTTTTATTTTGGCTCTTGTTATTTTTAATATATTTACCTAGGTTGTTATTCCTAAATGATATAAACGATAAAGAAGAGACAATAACATTTACCATGGAAAAGGAATATAATAACACGCTACCTTTCCTGGATGTTTTAATCTCTAAGAACGATACTGGATATGAGATTCAGGTGTATAGAAAACCAACACACACCAATAGATATTTAAATTTCAAATCAAATCACGATATTAATGTAAAAAAGGGAATAATTAAATCCTTATACGATAGAGCCAAAATTACTTGTTCTAACGAAAATTCGTTCTTGGAGGAGAAACATTTGTTAACATCTGTTTTATTAAAAAATGATTATCCTTTATCGTTTATAAATAAGGAATTTTCAACAATCGATCGAATAGAACAGAACAACTTAGAACGAGATCCTACAGCATACACAAGGAATAATATGAGGAAAATAACAATACCGTACATAAAAGGATTATCAGAAAAACTTAAAAGGATAGGAAATAAATTCAACATTTCAACAACATTCAAAACAACAAACACGTTGAGATCTATTTTGTCCAAAACCAAACCTAACAATGAACAAGAAAGGACAAAGAATTGCATTTATAAAATACCTTGTGAATGCGATCAGTTTTATTTAGGTGAATCATCAAGGTCATTAAATGTTAGAATAAGTGAACATCAATCTTATATCAAAAATAGAGGATTTGATAGATCTCAAATATGTAAACACGCATGGGATAATGAACATAGGGTTCAATGGAATAATTCAAATGTAGTCCTAAAAAAAACGGATGGTAAAAAAAGAAAAATCAAAGAAGCGGCTCTAATTATGCTAAATGAGGCCAATTGTGTCGCAAATTCCTCGGCAGAATGTAGTAGGATCTGGTTACCAATATTGAAAGAGGAAGTTATTAATAAGAAAATACCAGTATTAGTCAGTCAGTAACATATAGAGGATACATCATTTATGTTGTTTAAATAACGTAACATATAAAATCAGAATTTTGATGTTTGTTGAAGGTAAACTAAATTCACGAACAAATACTTACAATGTCGGGATAGTATTATGAGGTTTTTTTCCTGGTTTTTCCCTCATAATTTACTATGGAATCACTAGCAGGAGAATTTTACTGTCGTCATGTGTTTGTCTTTTTAAGTAAAGTCGTCCCAGGAGCGCAACTCAACAATATTGGCAATATCATTTTAAAGTCGTCTACTTTAAAATGCATAATGTATGTCTGAATTGTCAAGATAAATGAGTCAGATAAAATTAAATTATTAGAAGAATTTTTCACTATTTAACAAAAAACAAAATTTGTTTAATTTACTGTTTGTATTTTGAGAACGATTTCCGAAGTGGAAATTGAAACGTCAATAAACGTATTTTTATCTTCAATTGTGGCTTATTCCCAGTTAAATAGTAATTAATTATATTTGATTCTCTTGTATTCCATTCTCATACATCTAATCATGCTGCTCAAAAGGTGAAATTTTGAATTAAATTAATTTGAGTCAAATACAATAAAAATAAAACGAATATTTAGCAAGGAGAATAAACATTTTTTTTAATTCATGTTAGAACGATTATGTGGATTCAGATGGTGCAAAATCGGACAACTGGGAAAGCATGCGAGAGGCCTATGTTCGGCAGTGGAAGTTAGAGACTAGATGATAAAAGTTATATATTTTGATGAGAAATGTAGTAAATCGCATCAATGCGATCCTCATTTACCAAAAATTGAATTTCCAAAGATAGAGAGACAAAATGTGATGATGAACCAAATGGTCATTATTCATACTTACCATCTTCAGCTCTGTCTTTGTTTAGACCTTTTCCAAATTCCTTATCGTACTTAACTAATTGGCTATTTGCTAATTTATATACTTGAAAACCAGGGATACAGAACCCTAGATCTCGTTTACAGTCTTGATATTTTCTCTGTAAAAAATAATATACATACATATTTAATTACAAAATAACAAAAATCTAGTTTAAAAATGATATAGAAAACTTCTATGCTTCTTTGTTTACAACAATGTACGAATGAACAGTCTATTCATTGCAACATAGTATCAACAATCGTTTATTTGTTCGATAGTGTCGGAGTTTTTGTAAGCGAAATATTGGCTAAATATATTAAGAGAATCAAAACTAACAAAAAGTCTGTTAATGTTTAAAAAATGTTTATCTACAGTTGCAAAACTGCAACAATAACTTATGATGTTTGGTACCACAACCGGATAGTGAAATAGTGAAGAGAGACTTATAAAGAAGAGTAGATCTTTTTTTTGAAACACACTTGAATTGACAACATTTCTTAATGGATCAGTACTAGTATGATTAATAAATTTTCATTGTTCAAAAAATCTCTCACCTCTTCCGAACAAATTTTTTCATATGTGGAGGTTGGATCCCAAGTCCTTCTGCCGATTTTAATATCCATTACACAAGGCTCTTTAAAGTCTCTGATCAGATCTTCGAGAACAATGAATTCGTACGTTTTTCCGTTCACAGCTAAACATTTAGTTCCATAATATTTTGGTACGAAGTTCCGTAGCTCTAAAATGGTTTTATCTAATGAATTGGAAAGGTTTTGATAAAAAGCGATCTCCCTCTCGCCGCATTCTGGTTTTATCACTGGTTTTAATATCATTCCATCTTCCTTCAATATCCCTGAAAATAACAGTTGACATAAGCAAAAACAAGAAATTTTATTAAATTATAGTGTGTCAAGATGTTAGATGTTTCAATGTATGATTCATCATGAATCAGTTACCAGCTGTTCTCCGTGTGAAGAGGTTTACTCTCTGGCCCTGGTACTCACTTCAGCCATGTATGTTACCTGAAGTGATATTTAATTTAATTCTGAACATCACAGTTCTTTTACAACATGATGTATAATCTTTTACAACTATATGTAATTTAAAGGGTTTTTACCCAGGTATTTTGGTGGATCAGGCATTATAACCTAGCAATTTTAAAATTTAAACCTGATGATGGACTGTTTAGTCCGAAAACGTTTGTTTTTTTGATGTAGCCCTTTTAACGGTTTTTTAATAAATATACCCATTTACGAAGACTAACCTCTTTTTTGTGATACGTGGTATACAGCCAGCTACAGAAATTGTTTTCCTTGTGGATTTAGTTTATAATTAAATAATGCTATGGACCACTTTTTTAGAGCATACTTTTACAAACAGTTTGGTTTTTGATCTATTGTTCTAGGACAAATCTAAGTGAAAATATTGGCTAAAGAACGAAGTCATGTTTTTCGTGAAAATGATCAACACGATGAAACAAAAATGGCCACCATCGGCAAAATAAATTTTTTAAAAATAAAATTAATGCAATTTTGTATACTCTATAAACTGAAGTTTAATTGGTAGAAAAATAAAAAATATTAAAAATAGTCAAGCAATTAACTTAATTTATATTGGACCACTTCGTATGGATTGACCCCTTTACAAAGAAAACCTTAGAGCAGCTCAGTACAACCCAAAGAGCGATGGAGAAGGGATTAGTTTGAGACAGGATTCAAAATATCGACATTCTTGAAAGAGCAAAGATTACTGATGTCGCAGAACGTATAGCAAGGCTCAAATGGCAATGGGTCGGACACGTTGCCCGAGATAATCCCGAAAAATGGACACAAAGATTAACAAACTGGAGACCAAGAGAGAACAGACGAGGAGTAGGCAGACCACAGAAGAGGTGGGCAGATGATATCAAACAAGTCGCGGGCAAGCAGTGAATGAGAATTGCTAAGAGTAGAAATCAATGGAAGCAAATGTAAGAGGCATATGTCCAGCAGTGGACGAATACAGGCTGAAGAAGAAGAAGAGGTATTTATATTCTTCATTCAGGGCCCTAAACAACTTAAATTAATTTACAAATAAAGAAGTTATCCTTCCTACAAGTCATGGTTTTATGAATGTTATGGCGAATCGTACCAGTTTTGTGAACGAATTTATGAAGGTTGTATGTGCACTCGTAAATCTACTCGGTAATAAAAATTTACTTTACCATCTAATTATTTTAAATTCATGAAGCGTAATTTGATAGATTTTTAGAAATCACCTATTGTTATCTAAATTTGATGTACTAATAATAAGCTCCATAAAAAAATTAATAAATGTTGCAATAGTCAACATCAAAATTATCACCTCCACGGTAATAAGTTTAATTTGACTATTCATTAATTGTATAATGTGAATATTTTATCACTTTTAACTGCAACGAGATCCACTCGAATAATATGACGACCGACGGAAAGATAATAAAATTTATAAAAAACAGGAAAAAACTAGGTGCACATTTAGTTGACATTAGTTATAGAAATAACTTTACTGCATCACGCTTTGGCTACGTGACAAAAAACTTTGCGGGAATTAAATTATAAATATTTATCATTGATAAATAATAATAATTTGAAAGAGTTAATGGATCGGTATGTTTTGTGAAAAAAAAAAAATCGCGCAATTTTTTCTATCAAGGAAGCGTGCTGTATCACACCAAATAAATAAAATATTTCATAGGTTTACAAGATATGAGCACAATGTATATTTTAAAGTTTATTAAAGAATTATAAAAAAAGGTAAAAAATACGTTAGGAGGTAAATAAGCAGGACAATGTGGAATATTTTGAAATGATCATAAATATGTTCAATATACGAGGGTGTATTGATATAAAACTAGCTTTTGATAGAAAAAACAAGTTTTTTGGAATTAAATCGATTTATTTCTCAACATTATCCCAACCGAATAGTACTTTTGCTCGAGTTAGGCTCGAAGTTTCAGCTGTTTCAGCTGAAGTTTCAGCGACGACTTCATCATTTGTTGCGAAACGGCGTCCTCCCAGTGATTTTTTAGGTTTGGAAACAGGAAAAATTCGGCATCGAATCGATCCCATAATGTTGCGTAGTACTCACCATTGATTGTTTTCTCTTTTTCCAAGTAGTCGATGTGGATGATGCAATCCGCATCACAGAAAACAGACGCCACCACTTTGCCGGCCAAATGTGCACTCTTTGCCTTCTCGGCGGCCTTTCGCCGCGTTTGCGCCACTATTTCGACTGTTCTTTGGTTTCCGGTGTGTAATAATGCACCCAGGTTTTATCAAATGATGGTGAATGGTGTTATGTACGCGTTCGTGGGAAATGTTTAGGATCTGTATTAACTCGCTTAACACAAGATATATATATATATATATATATATATATATATATATATATATATATATATATATATATATGCTTTATTGATTACAACAAAGCGTTTGATAAAGTTCGTCACGATCACTTAATGAAACTGCTAGTAGAAAAAAACTTGGATAAAAGGGACATTAGAATTATCTCTAAGATTTACTATAACCAGAAAGCAAATATCCGAATAGAGCAAGAGACAACGGAGGAAATCGAGATCAAGAAAGGCGTAAGACAGGGTTGTATACTCTCACCGACCTTATTCAATCTATACTCCGAAGACATTATAAACACAGCACTTTCGGATCAAAATATAGGTATTAAGATAAATAGCATCCGAATAAACAACTTGAGATATGCCGATGACACGGTACTAATCGCAGAAACTTGGGAAGATCTTCGAATACTAATTAACAAAATAGTAGAATGCAGTGAAGAACACGGATTATCACTTAACATAAGCAAAACAAAAATAATGCTAATATCTAAATCACCACAAAACTTCCCTGACATAACCGTGCATGATCAAAGAATCGAACGTGTAAGAAGATATAATTACCTGGGAACTGTTATCAACGAAAATAATGATTACTCTGAAGAAATCAGAACCAGAATAGAGAAAGCTAGAGCCACATTTACTAAATTGAAAAAGGTGTTCTGCGGAAGAGATCTAAGTCTAAAACTTAAAATTCGCCTTTTGAGATGTTACGTTATGTCAGTTCTCCTCTACGGGATGGAAACATGGACATTGAAAAAGATCGATACCAAAAAGATAGAAGCATTTGAGTTGTGGATGTATCGTAGAATATTAAGAATACCCTGGACAGAGAAAGTAACAAATGTGGAGGTTTTGCGGAGAGTGCGGAAAGAGAAAGAGCTGATACTTACTGTTAAAAAGCGCAAACTACAATATTTGGGACATGTTATGAGGGGAGATAAATACCAGTTGCTGCAATTGATTATACAGGGAAAGATAATGGAAAGAGATCTATAGGAAGAAGAAGGCATTCATGGTTGAAAAACTTGAGAGAATGGTACATTTGCACCAATTACCAACTGTTTAGATCTGCAGCATCAAAAATACGCATAGCTTTGATGATAGCCAAACTTCGGAACGAAGACGGCACTTGAAGAAGAAGATTAACTCGCGGAGCTTAATTCGACGATCTGCCATAATCATGTCATGGACATGGGGACAAGCGGGACATTGCGTGTCCCGCAATATTTAGAGGAATTTCGTATTATTAAAATGAACTGGCCAGCGTGTTCGCCAGATCTGAACCCAATAGAGCACGATTGGGACATGCTTGTTAGAAATAGTAGCGGCCGCGAAGTCGCCCCAGCATCAATTAACGTACTTCACTTGGCTCTGGACGAGGAATGGCAAAACATCCCGCAAAATGATACTCGCAAAAACTTAGTAAGCATTAACCATTTTGTATTAACCTTGGTCAAAATTTTAAATTTCATGTTTTCTTTAATTAAAGTGGTTATATACTTTTAGGATACACTGATGATGAAATATTGATTCCGAAAACGTTCTGTGATATAGCCCGACTGGTTGTTTTAATTATATACCATTTATAAAGAGAGAGACTACGGATGGCACCCAATGTTAGTGTGAAATTGATAAATATTTACTTTTTGATAACTACCCCAATAAAACGTGTTTCGTCGAGATCAGACTTTAGATTAGTTTTGTCCACCAGTGTTGCCGGTAAAAATTTTACTAAGTTAGGTAATTTATACAATGATAACAATTCCAACACAACTTTGTTAGACCACTTCATTATAAAATTACCACGAAACTGACTGTACCTCATCTAGCTGCGTCCGAAACGTTGGATATGCTGTGAATCAGCTTCCGATTGTCTTTGAACTGTGCTGATTTACCGACAAACAAGGCGCAGGCCATAAATACACAGTTTTTTCCTATTCAAGGGATCGTAAGATTCTATTCAAGAGATCAAGAAAATAAGATCAATAAAAAAAAGATAGTGAAAGCAAAAACACAGTGGCTTGTAGAAACTTGCGAAGAAATAGAAGACCTACAGAATAAACATGATGGTAGACTTTGTGGGATCAGAAACGCTAGGCAGTGTGTCACAATAACAAGTACAGATGATAGAGTCCTGACCACAATCGAAAAAATAAGCGCTGAATGGCGAACATACATACAAAACCTCAGACGATAGAACAATAAATATTGATAGACAAACAAATATCGAAAATAACGACTTGCCCATCTTAACATAAGAAATATAACACGCCTTAAAAAATATGAAAACCGGAAAAGCGTCTGGACCTGACTACGTTCATAGTGAAATTATACAACTTTTGGAAGAAGACAATTTAGAACTATTATCAAGACTCTTCAACAATATATACAAGACTGGTACAATTCCACAAGATTGGTTAACGTCTAGGTTTGTGCCTATACCTAAATCAAACTACGCAAAAAAAATGTAACGA